TACTTCAAAGTAAAAAAATATTAAAATAAATAGAATTTAGTTATCAACCTTTAACGTTCAATAACTGATGTTGCACCTTTCGTTGGCATCTAAGATGAAGTAAGATATGCTGTTCAGATATGCCTCTTAAAATGAAAAATGATGCATGATTAAGCCTGCAGATAAGATGTTCCATTTAAGTTTACCATCAACCAAACTTATCACTGTACAAGTTTTTTGCAAAACCCAACTAGAAATGTCACTCAACAAAATTTTTCAGGCTAATAAAGTCATACAAAGGATAGTAAGATTCTATTTAAACTTCAGTTGTCAAGTTCATTCAAACAAGTTGTCTGTATAAAAAACAATGCATTTTTTACTTCTATCAATACTTACGGACAACATTGATTGATACAAAACTTATTTCACGATCTCATTGGTTTGATAAATTGTCTCATACTGACGTGTGTACGGAGTTCAACTAATATGTATATTTTGTTCTAATTTGATTGTTTACTCTGATAGCGCAAACTGAGTTAGATAATTCAATTATAATTCAGAAATGTTTATGTCGTCTAAACTATTCACGTCAAATGCACCATTTTCTTTATCACGAATAAAGTAGAAAAAAAATTCCAATAAAGCTTGCTCTTAAATTATGAGAAGCATTGTTCATATGTGTGCAGAAATAGTAGAACAGAAAAAGACATTTATTGTCCCATCGCGCATCTGGTGCAGTAAAATTGGTACCGTTAATGTTATAGATAACGAGTGATTTAAACTACCGCTTGTCTATGCTTTGGTTAAATACCGCGTTTTTGATAACAAACAATATTTCGCAATTCGACACAAATTCCCCCGACTACAAATACATTTATTTGCGTTTATGTCGAAGGTGTTTTTTGGAAAAATATTATTGCGACACTATTTATACGGCGAAAGTAAGATATTCATTTGAATGGAAAAATTCGGTTAACCGAATGTCAAATATTAGTAACAAGAAATAAAACCAAAGCTTAAATTTCACGTAACATCTGTGAACTGGGTAGTAACACAGTAGTATTAAACAGTGCAATTATGCCAGTTTATATTATGTTTAAATCATCTGTTAAAATTTTGTTTATGTAATCATGTCGTACATTTTCATTTACTTGTCAAATATATAATTGTGAAGAGAATCTATGCATCGATTAAGAACGCTATTTTTTGCACTTTTTAGTACTTATTTTAATCAATATAAAGTATGAATTTTTTCAAAATATCATTTCTAATTGTCCACTTCGTATCGCTTCATTTGTATTCTCTGCTTTTAAAAAAGCACCATAATTTTATCAGAAACAACCTGAATTGGGACGTTTGTAACATTTGATTGTTTTAAGCATAAATCTAGCCGTTTGTGTTTTCAAACTAGTTTTTTTCACCTTTTGTCATGCAGGAGCGTTTTATAGATTACTATACGATATGATATTTGTTTACGGTTGAAGGTCGTATTGTTACGTCCTCGACATCTTGATCTTTGAGGGGCCTCAGTGGCCGAGTGGTCTAAGTAGTAGAACTACTTATCACTAGTCAGTCAACACTGAGGTTGTTAGTTCAAATCCCAAACGTGACAGGTGCACTCGACTCCAATCTTAATTGACTAGGATTTTCATTTTTCCTACCGAAGGTCGGTGGTTCTCTCAGGGCACTCCGGCCTCCTCCGCCAATAAAAACTGACCGCCACGAAATAGCACAATAGTGTTGAAAGTGGCATTAAACACCAATCAATCTGGATCTCTGGTATGACTATCTAACCAATCTAAGTAATCAAACCATATCTTAACATTTTTATACTAATGATAATATTTTATGTAATGCCTATATGTATTGTCGTATTATACGGCGATTTTGAAAACAATCAAAATAATTCAAAACCCGAATAATCGAGTTTAGTCAAAATGTTTTGTTTGAAAATCGATTTTAATGTTAAAAACGTAAAACGACCACAGAGATGAACTAACACATGATTCTGTTTCCATTGCTTTACTATCATACATTGACATGATATTTTGCTGGACATCCTTTTTGTCAGGGTGCATACAATAACGAAATAAACCAAAAATAAAACTCAGTTCAAAAGAACACCTAAACCACCAACTGTCTCTGGTTTAAAGCTATTTTGCGTGCGCAAACCATACTTCTTTATATACCTTGACCATATGTCGTAGAATTTATAACATACACGTTATCAAGTTTTATAAAAGAAAATGCACGGCGAACGAGTACGACGACCAACAACTGACGACAATTGTCGATAGCCAATTACTAAAGATGGCAATAGCCAACACTAGCCCTTTGAGCCAGGTTAATTTAACATGGAAGAAATAGTCAAACAACAGATTTCCACAGAATGTTTTTGAACAATGAAGAATGGTCTTTACTGTACATTTCCATATGTGGAAATATATATAGAATGAGATAACGAGAACAATTCTTTGGACAACTTCAGAAGGGAAAGTGCACATCCTCGTTAGGTTTTCTGTGATATTCAAAAGCACTGGGTTAATAACAAAATTAGGTACTATCTTTTGAAAAGGTATTTAAAAAACAACTAATATATATGCAATCAGTCTGGGATGTTTCACGAATCTTGCTTGAAAACTACAGGCAACGTAAATGTAAAAAACTACTTTAAAAAATGTGAAAATCCTCAAACTATTACATTATAGCAGGTGCTCAACCTAAACCTGTGTGCAATTTAACTGTTAAGTACCAGTAGTCTGTGTATAGAACTGCAAGAGGAGTTCATTACAAAAAATGTGTTCATGAAGTAGCCGGAAAGACACTCCAGTTCGATCGGTATTTTGCTCTTGATTCAATTAACTCGAAAGTACCTCTTTAGATATTATATTACAAAGTAAAATGAATTAAAAGATACAATATAAGATATATTAATGCTTTCAGTTATCGGTTTGAAAAAACAAAACATTTCCATATATGTCAGTCTATTAGTATATGTATACAACGAAAACTGTAAGAGAATAAACATGTAACCTCCATCTAACTTCTAGTTAAAACTTTCTCGTTTGAATTTATTTTCCCTTTTAGCAACATGCAGTAATTTTATGTTTCTGTATAAGGATACTGTGGATGTTCTTTTATACTGAAAAAAACGCACAAAAAAATATAAAAACATGAAATATGACTTATGAATAAAGAGTTAAATTGTTTTCATCGACATGTATGTTATTTCATGCGTTTTGTTAAAATATACTTTTTCACTTTAAGGTCTTTTGGAATATGTTGTTTGTGCTGTATTTAGACCCCTCTACCAAGAAATTTGTTTTGCATGCACACGTATAGCACACGTATAAAAATTGCGGTTTTTATCCAACGCAATCATAGGTTTGAACGTTGTTTTCAGTTTGGGCGTGTATTATATTTGCCTTCGGGTTTATATAATCCGTTCATCCTATTTCGACTCTTCAAAATTCAAGAGTCAATCCTAAATTGAGGTAAATTATATGGCCTTCCAAATACCCTTTTGATTCCTAACATCACTGAAGAGACATTAATTTTCGAAAATCCGGATATGGTGTACAAATTTTTGCACCTCATGTTTGAGGTATACCTTCTTTTCCGCAAGTTTATTGTTTTTTGTTTGGTATAACATTAATAGTTAAGATCCATTTTGTTACATCTGGTGATCAGTTTATTTGGCAATCGCCATGGCAGTCAGCAGGGGCTAAGAACATTCGTTGTTCGACCTGCTAGTCAAATGCGTTTTGTTAAGATATACTTTTTCACTTTTTTGGTCTTTTGGAAAATGTTGTTTATGCTGTATTTAGACCCCTCTACCAAACAAATTGTTTTGCATGCACACGTATAAAAATTGCGGTTTTTATCGGACCCAATCATAGGTTTAAACGTTGTTTGTAATTTAGTCTTGTATATATATATATACACCAGCTGTAAATATTTAAGATGGCAATGCAACATATTGGTCAATCAATATCCCTAATGCGCCTCAGAGTGAGGACCTCAACTATAAATAGAAATATAAAAAAACGAAATTGGACATTATGCTATTTTTAGAAATTGACTGAGCTTAACCAGTTGTGCTTTTTTAAAGAGCAGAAGACTGTATGATAAAGATGTAAAAACTTTGGAGTTATTAAATGTTTGTAGATATCTGAATTTCCAGAGTATTTAACTGTGTGAAAATAAGGACTTTTCACTTGCTGAAGCGGCATCACGTGGGCCTTTCGGGGTTGCCCAATTTGTAAAAAATTTAATCCCACTTCGTACCCCTAAAATTTAACCACATGTGTGAAAATGTCTCAGCTTCGAAACGAGCCATCATACATATTCAAGTTTACGATATGGATAGAGGAATGGAATAAAAGTCAACCATTGTCGCCTATGGGAAATGAATTGCGCAACTTGACCCATATACGCATGTGATATGGGAAGTACAGAGTGGAGCAAGAAATTCGTTAACTTAGACAGTCATGAAGTCAATACTGGTTAATTACAGTTGATAAATATAAACGTTTTAGTTTTCAGAGTAGTGTTTTTCTCTGTTTTTTGTGTTATTTTTCTCTCTATCTTTCTACTTTTTCTATTGCTTTAACTAAAGTCGCGTATGTATTTCGTTTAAGTTTAAACGTACTTAACATTGCATTTTGTTTGTTCTGAAAAATGAGTACGTTTATTTCTTTTTTAGACAAATATATGTTGTCGGTTATTATACATATCAATAGATTGTGCTTACGGACGTCATTGAACAATAGTAATGACAACAGTACTTAAGTACGGCTGATGTACATGTATCATATGAATGAATTTTACTTTTAATTTCTTTTCAATTTGTTTTGATGGCAAAATAATAATGTGTACATGTATGACCATGTCCTCACGTCAATTGAAGTTTTGTATAAACTATTATTCACAACTATGTCATTATTCAATACTTTAATTTGTACTTTGAAAACGTCTTATAATGTGTTAAACTCTTCTTTTAAAATAAATAGTATATTTACTCACAAACCAAAGGAAAATATGCGTCGACCTTTTTCCAACATCTCCATTGACTCCATATCACATTTTGTTAGATTAAAATCGAAGATCTTTGAAATAAAATAAATTATGAAAAATAATCAAGTCTGTTCAAACTTAATCATTGAAACTGTTGTTGTGTGCATTCTATAACTGACAGACAAACAATATTTAATTTGAAAGTTTCAATGCTTTTCAAATGTTTTCATTTTGTTTACATTGTACATGTATTTATATTTTACTAAATTGTACTTTATCGAGGAAGTGAATAATATACGGTATGTACTATCAACTACAAAAACTTTTTTATCGGCGTCTTTGACAATCTACCATCAACTACAAAAAATATTTTTGTTGGTGTCTTTGTCAGATTTACGTCTTTGTTGTATTTGGGAGAACTTTTAGGAATTAGGGTCCTCAATGCTCTTCAACTTCGTACTTAAATTGGTCTTTTTAACTTTTTTGATTCGAGCGTCACTGACGAGTGTTTTGAACACGAAACGAGCGTCTGGCGTAAAAATTTCAATCCTGGTATCTATGATGAGTTTAATTACTATCAACTGCAGCAACGTTTTTGTTGGCTTCTTTTTTGATTTAATTATATGTTTTTCCAACAATTTTTTTAGTCAGTTGCGTTGTATGTCTGTGATGTATGTTTACAAAGCTTTCGCTGGAAGATCACAACTTTTGTCATATTAACCCATTATGTCTGTTTGGGTTGCTCATCCAATTTTGTCAATATAACAGAACTATAAACAACTGTCATCAAGTGGGAGGTAAAGCTAGCTATAAAACCAGGTTTAATCCACCTTTAAATAAAGGCAACAGTAGTATACCGTTGTTCGAAACTCATAAATCGATAGAGATAAAAACAAATCCGGGTTACAAACTGAAACTGAGGGAAACGCATCAAATATAAGAGGAGAACAACGACACAACAAAAACACAACATTAAAATGTAACACACACAGAAACGAACTATAATATAACAATGGCCATTTTCCTGACTTGGTAAAGGACATTTTAAGAAAAAAATGGTGGGTTGAACCTGGTTTTGTGGCATGCCAAATCTCCCGCTTTTATGGCAACGTCAAACACAACACCAAAACGACAACATCACATGACAGGACCACAATACAAATAAATGGGAGAACATATAGGACAAAGAAACACACGAATAATAGCTAGCAGAAAGTACTAGGCTTAAAATTCAATACGCCAGACGTGCGTCCATTAAAATGCCTGTACCAAGTCAGGATTATGACAGTTGTATTTTTACTCTTTCTGTTGGTTAATAACGTTTGATTTTGTCAGTTTTTATGGATTTTCCTTTTTTTAATTTACCTTGGAGTTCGATATTTTTGTTATACTTTTCTAGCACTAAACAAGTGGCATATATCAACTCGTTTTGTTTAATGCAGAAACAGCTTATCAGATTTTTACAATTTTAAATGCAACGCGACGGAAAGAAAAGCAGGAAAAACACTGAAGTCCAAGGCATCTGCAGTGTTGTTCTGAAACTTTCGGTTGTTTGTTTGTTTATTTGTTTTTTTTGGGGGGGCTAAGGAATTGTTTGTCTATTGATAGGTTTTAATTGTTCCCTTGGTATCATCTAATTTTGGACAGTACTTTGATACTGCTCAAATATTGTGAATCCCTTTTTGTTTTGCTTATTGTTGAAGAAAATCCAAACGAGTTTTTATTTTCCAGTAAATTTTTAGTGGGTTAATATTTATTTTATTTTATTATATTTCTGCTTTGGGTCTTATATCTGAAAAAAATAGGCTTACTGAATCAAGATCACTCTGACTAGATCTGGGTTCATTTAGAGAGTAAAAGTGATTAAATGTGCAATTGCTACAAAAATGATAAACCAAAAAACCTGATGTCTGTCAAATAGAACAGAGTGTTGTTGTTGGGATGAGAGGACTAGTAGAAAAAAAATAAGATAAAAATTAATAATCAAAATCAAATGTCCAATAAATGCCAGATAACACCATTGCAACAACGAATAAACAATGAAAAAATAAACAGTTGCCGATCAAACAATAAAAAGAACCTAAATATTGAGAAAAACGCAATGCAAACAAAAGAATAAAATAAAACAGGGATGAAATCCTGTGCTCCGGAAGGATAGACAATTTATTGTCCACCAGTTGCATCCGTTTTCTTGTTCGAAAACAAGTATAGATTCGGTGATAAAGTGATTTCGGTGATTAAAAAATCGAAAAAAGAGGACGTGTCTGTTGCTAAGATGAGTGCAACATATGCGTGGTGACATATGTATTCCATAGTTTTCAACCAAATCATGATGGCGACCGTAGAGGTTGCTTTGATTATTGCTCTTTCTGCAAAGTTTTAAACATTTTGTTGCAGTACAAGGAGTAACAAAATTGTGGTTATTATGTTCATGATATTAGTCCTCATTACGTAGGTATTACATTTTAGAAAATAAATAGTCAAATGTTAATCAACTCATTGCATTAAATTCTAAAAAAAAACAACAATATTAAATTCTCAAAAAAGCAATATTAAATTCTCATAAAAGCAATATTAAATTCTCAAAAAAAGCAATATCAAATTTTGGAAAAAAACCATTATTAATTATTATTTTTCTGTCAATGATTAAAGAGTTAAAATATTGACATGTCAATGTATTTCTTTAATTTAAACAGATATATCCTTGTTTTATAGAAAGGGAAAATAACGCCTTATATATGCATTTCATATAATTCTTACATTTATATTTTCCTTTAATCTTTCAGGATTAGAGCTTTTTGGGAGAACTCCAAGACCACGCTGGATGTGATGCCGTAATAGAATCTAAAAGAAAACTTAGTTATACGTGATACAAGTGTAAATATAGAAAACGCATGTATAGTAATGAAGTAAAAAAATTATAGAGAAACTTTGCATATTTATTATTATACTATACTAAATGGAATCTTTGTCATTTGTAATTTTGGAGAAACTATGGAGCTTTTAATCGCTATTGTTTGATGCCGAGAATATAACAATAGGAAATATTCTGCTTTATTTTAAGTAAACCTCACAAAAATCAATAGGTCAGCATCCGCCTGGGACATCACAAGACCAGAAGTATTGACAATATGGTCAACCCTTTCTTTTTGTGCATCAACTATTCTCCCATTCTAAAATCGTCTAGTTGTGTCATGAAATTTACAATCAACCAAATATTCGGCTTTGAGCGTTCCTGATGAAGGTAAATCCAGAAAATCGCTCAGTACTCAGTACTTCGGTACTGACATGATTTATAACAAACTATCTAAAATTGCCCGTTTATAAATTTTGAAATTATACAGAAACTAAGGTTTCAACTCCTTCAGGCACACTTGGCCTTAGATGGATTTGGCTATTTATTTTAGGTCCTTTTTTGTTTATAGCTATTCAACGTTTTCGATCCTTATACATCCTTGGTTTTCAAATATTCGGTAAATCCAGAAAAGCGCTTCGGACGCATGAAATTTATAACGTGTTTTCATTTTTTGTTATGTCGCCGCAGTTTTCTTTTATCTTAGTATGGGGATATTAAAAATACGAGTTTTGATGATCCATCAAGATCTGCAGCCTCTTATTCAATCTCCAATTTGAATTCACTCAATCAATGACATGAGATTTAGGCATCCTTGTCATAATCGAAATCATGCGGATTAAATCTTTATTCGAATTATGTAATCATGAAAGGATAAAACAAGATAGATTCATAACATTAATTGCATGCAATCAATGTGTCAGAGTAGGAAACCCATGAAAATCTGTTTAAATAATCCTTTTTTTTAATTTTCTAGATTAAAAGTGTTTCCTTTGTTCTTTAAAATAATACTGTCTGCTATATGTACAAAATTCATCGTGTTCCAGATACCTTCATAGCTGATCTAGGGCTGTATGTGGTCGAATGGTCTAAATAATTCATTTAAAGCGATCACTCGCCTGTCAATACTAAGGTTCTGACTTTTAAACCTGGCAAGCGAGCTGATGGTGGCGTACAACACCACCAATAAATCAATCAAATCAGGTCAAATATATTTATATGGAAGTACTCCAGACGGGTGTTTGAGACCTTAAGACAAGTAAACAAACCTGCGCAGGTGTTCTCTCGTGCTGTTTTGCTAAATCACGCACAATACTTTCATGGTATATATCACACGGCTGGTTACTACAAAAAGTAATGTAATGACATAAAATATGTGGGAATTAAAGAAACTGTACTCTAATTTACATATTACAGTACCTACCTATAATAAATATTCATTTTGGTTTAGGTCAGTTGTAACCTGAGCCTGTTTTTGGTATGAGAAACATTTTAATCCAATGCCATGATATAATAATTTCAATACTGAAGTACTATATGCTATATCTTAAGCTTTCCTTTTATATTGTCTTTGTTTGTATAAAACGTATTATATACAATGAAGAGATCAAAGTTAAAAATAACATAAATAAAAAGTTGAGAGCAAAGTGATCCACTACCATTTTAATACCTCTTTAATTATAAATATGTAATCATTACATGTTGTACACAAATTCTTATTTACTTATTGAAATTTTATAGTACATGTAAATACTAAAGAAAAAGGAAGAATTACGCAACATGTTTTGCCAGTGCATTAATCCGACTTGTTTGTAACGCTTTCCTTTAGTGATATCTTTAAAAAAAAACTCCATTTGTAGACATTCTATACTCTTTTATTACACGTAAAAATAGTAACACGTGAAAGCTTAACTTCCTATGTTTCCTCCAACTATAAACCAGATTTACAAAAATTATAAAAATAACATCATTAACATTAACACCCAATTAAAAGAAGAATTACACAAAAGAAAATACAAAATGTGTGGTTTGTACGTAAGTAAACGCAACAAACGAATTATATTTGTAAGTACCTGTTTTCTACATTTGTCAAATGCTTGAAGTTCGATCCAAATTTAGATTTGAGCGTAGAAAGACCCGGAGATCCCAGTGGTGCGAAGGCTATAACAAATATTTCCTTATCCTGGCAAAATTGTACAAGATCTGTTATTTGTAAATGTGCATGACATTCTGTCTGAAATGAATTTAATACAGTCACGTAGTACCATTCTAATTAAGAATGTAGAGCTAGATTAAGGTACATGAATTTTACTGGCATGTCAACAATTTTTATAAATAAATTATATAGCTGAATATGCAGTATGGGTTTTGCTCATTGTTTAAGGCCGTACGTAGACCAATAGTTGTTAAATTCTATGTCATCTGATCTCCAGTGGAGAAATGTCTCATTGACAATCATATCACATCTTCCTATATTATATAAGCTTCTGAGTAATGAAAAAGCACTTTTTTAGTGTTATTATTGACACTGATTAATGTAATTTTATTATACATGAATGCCGTAAGCAAACGCACAAATGATTTTAAAAGGAGGTGTATTTCTTAACACAGGCATATCCAACAGAAGTAAACAAAAATTATATATTCAACAAAACTTTTATTGTGATTTTATCTTTTAGTTTTTGGTTGTAGACTTTTACTCATTTTGGTAAATGAATATAATTCTTTATAATGATTGCAAAGTGATTTTTAGATTGATTTGCAATTTGTGATTCACCAATTCACCTAATCTGCTTTTATTCACATTGGTGAAGTCTGTTCTTCTTGGCATAAGAATTTATTTTCCTCCCGTTATTTATTTTATCGAGGTTTAAGTTACGTTTAACATATTCTGATAGTTTCAATAACAACTTCATTGATTATCTTACATAAGTTCTAACCGATCATGCAATTTTTGATATGACATAAAAAGAGTGCTTTAACAAAAACCACAACATTCACTCTAAAAAAAGCGAATAATTCTGTATAGAACAAAATGGAACAGTATTGGTGTCTACATTCGATGTTTCCAGCCATGTCCTTCCTTTTTGAATCATATTGCTCAATCTTTGTTTTTGGTTTGGTGTTTGTTTCTTTTCTTTTTTATTTTGCTTGTCTACTTGCCTATTTTACTTTGATCTATGGTTACTATCTTTTTCGCTTTTTCATGTCACCTCAATTTAATATTAAGAACCAAAGAGTCTCATCGGGTCAGGGATTCATAATATTGTTGCTTGATTTTATTGAGATGCAAATTCAGTTGTGAATAATTACTTAATGTATTTAACATGTTTTGTTGGATTTTGTAAAAGAATTAACATCATTCGAGGGTGTCACATACGTTTGAATCAACTTTTGTTAAAGCAAATATATGATGTCGCCATGAATTGCAACATGCAAGTGTTCTCGAGTTTTAAATGAAGAATTCATATGAAATTATTATTTCTATTACAATATACATTTCACCAATCATTCAATGTTATGTCACTTTGATATTAGATTTTAAAAAGAATTATTCAGACTAACGGATTTTTTTTTTAAAGAACACATGGAACCGGTTTCATGATTGTCTGTCTCTCTTGCCAGTGCAATATGTATATATACAAGTTAATTTCGTACAAAATTACTAAATAAGTAATTTTGTAGTTATGATGTGCAAGATTGGAGCACAGACGTTAACAAACACAATAACAAGAATGAAAGAATAAAACAGGTGATTAATTACTATGAAATTTGTTTCTTTACTCTCAATCGTCCAACAATCAAATAGTAATAAATATGAACGTGTGATTGCGGCAATAAGAAAACGTAATTTTCTAATTAATTTCCCAAATGAACATGCAATAGTCAAATATCAGCTACTGGAATAAGAGCATGTTAAACATGTACTACACATAAAGTATATCCCGAAATTAAAGTAATGTACATTTCTATAAAATGTTAAATTATAAATATTAATATTTCTAATTAAAACCAAATGAGCAATCAAAGCTGTAATAACGTTTCGTTTGATTAAAAGGATCAAGAATCCAACATTGATAAAATTTTACAATTAAATTAAAAAGCACTGCTAATGTTAAAGAGATGTACAACTTAGGAAAGTTCATATTCAGAACACTCAAGCTTAGAAGTAACTGTTTATTTTATTTTATAACAAACATTATTTCGAGTTAATTGTTACACATCTTTGCTATTTTAAATCATATTGATATTTTTATTGCATTTGTATTTATTACTTTCGTCTGTTTTGTCATGACTTTTATAAATGTAATACGTTATTAGACCCATATGTTGAATCAATCCTAATCCTATCTTATTTTTGGGAAATATTTTTACAAATTCAAATGTGACGTCACTTTGTGATTTTTTTTTTTAGAATTTCAAATGTGACGTCACTTTGTGCGTTGAGGCTTTGGCTAACTCGGCTGTGTATTTTTATGTGTTGGATTAAGTTGTTTTTTGTAATGTATCGATCCGTTTTTATTCTGTAGCTAGTCCCCACTTTGGTTTTATCATGTATATCTATTATATAGTCATTTTATAAAATTTACTGTTTGCAAAATTATAAATTATTCTATATAATAAGGATGTTCTTGTCCAAGGCAGAAAACCCTGGCCGTGTTGGGCGCAACTTTTTGGAAGGTTTGGTCCTCTGTGCTCTTCATCTTTATACTTGTTTTGGCTTTCAAACTTTTTTCATCTGAGCGTCACTGGTTAGCCTTGTGTGGACGAGACGCACCTCTGGCATATTGGATTTTAAACCTGGTGCCTTTTGTTAGCTATTATTCGTGTGTTTCTTTGTCCTATATGTTCTCCCATTTATTTGTATTGTAATCCTGTCATGTAATGTTGTCATTTTAATGTTATATTTAACATTGCCATACAAGCGGGAGGTTTGGCATGCCACAAAACCAGGTTCAATCCACCATTATTTTTCTTAAAATGTCCTGTACCAAGTCAGGAAAATGGCCATTGTTATATTATAGTTCGTTTCTGTGTATGTTACATTTTAATGTTGTGTTTTTGTTGTGTCGTTGTTCTCCTCTTATATTTGATGCGTTTCCCTCAGTTTTAGTTTGTAACCCAGATTTGTTTTTATCTCTATCGATTTATGAGTTTCGAACAGCGGTATACTACTGTTGCCTTTATTGAAAACATTTGGTAGATAGAAAATAAAAAAAAAAAACATATTCAGAATTGCCATACCTGTAGAACAGCAGGAGGTATTGTACATTTTTGTATTATGCTCTCTACTTGTTGTTGATTAAAGTTAGACAACCCTATAGATCGTGTCAGACCAATTTTAACTGCACCTTCCATTTCCTTTAATAGAAAATAAAACATACTAATATTTATTGAAAAAATCAAAAAAGCCAACACGAAGCTGCAATTTGAAATACAAAAACAAAACAAAACAGAAATGCAAATATAAAGTAAAATAAGATAACTTTTTCATTAATCATGATAATTCCAAAAGAATATTTTGAAATCATCATATAGCTAACGGTTATAATTTTAAACGGTAACAATTTAACTACACCAGATTTGCATTTCGACAATTGATTTATCTTCAGTGATATTCGAAGCCACCCAAAATTAAGTACAACAACCGTAAAGATAGTGTCAAACCAAGTTCAACTCCACCTTCCATCTTCTTTAATATAAAATAAGACATAACATGACAAACAATACTAAATACATATTTAATAAAAAACAAAACAAAAAGGCGACACTGTAGTAGACAAAAATTAATTATTTAAAAAAAAACTGACAACTGTTTTCTGGAATCATCAAATATGATATAAACGGTAATCAAATTAAACGGTACCAAGTGCGTATTCCGACAACTAATGCCTCTTCAATAATGTCCGAGGCCAAAATGTTTGAAAATCCAAAAAAACAAGGGGCAAACGTAAAGTAAATCCCGTCAATTTCTTTTAGAAACTTTAAAAATATTTAAAAAGGCTGTTACAAGCTTGAATAAGAGAAAACGGAAGAGAGAACATTCTGTAATTTTTAATTCATATCAGTGAAAAATTTATCAAATGTGTTCCATTTTCATAGATATTTCCGTACAGTTTGTATATATATGTTTTGTATTTTGTTATCTGAAAATCACTGGACCTTACCTCATTATCTGTTTATTTAGTTGCAATTGTTTGATACAATTCATCACCTTACCTCACTACCTGTTTATTTAGTTGCAATTGTTTGATAACATTCAGCACCTTACCTCACTACCTGTTTATTTAGTTGCAATTGTTTGAAACCATTCCGCAGTCATTTATCTTCGCCCGAAGAATTTTATCATAGTAGAAGATTGCGAAATATACGGATTTCACCTTTTAACAGAGACAACCCTTTCACGTTTCAATAAATTAGACTTTTTTTTAAGTTGATAAAAGCTGTTAGCAACCCAGTATGAACAAAATACAAACAAACATCATAGTGTACATTTTGATACATACTTTCCACACTTGCTCATGATCACATATTCCATTTAAATATTCATGCCATTTTGTATTATCGTCACGTGTTTGTGCTCCTTTCTGAGAATAAAAATATGAGATAATAGTCATCGAAATCAGTTTACAAAGGATCAGCATCTGTAAATTTAGTTTGCACTATCATTATATAAATGAAAATAACACTTTAAAAATTTGATACGTACTATAAATGAAATTGTGACCCTTTGAAATTATCTTTGTATCCCTCGGATTTGCATTTAAATTTTTTATCTCGGAGTCATAGTCTGGCTCTGCTCTATCACATTCTCAACAATATTTTAATTGGTTTATTATACTGGAGGTACTGTATTTTTGTCTTTGTTTATTTTAATCGTTCTTCGCTAGATTATTTTGTTTTTATACAATTCCAACAGACAGCTGCATAAGATATTATCAAAAGCAACAAATACAGGTTTGTACGAACAAAGATCATTTAAGCAATAGTTTCATGAAGAAAAAACGAACGGCAGTTTAAAGAGTTTGAAGTTATGAAGTTGACAAAATATCAAAATATGATTTTTTGTTTTTGTGGTTTCAAACATTTATAAAAGCGGAATTGTGAAATATTATTTCGCTATTAGCGGTCAGTTATGGTTCAATATGTCAAAATAAGCTCAAAACATCGATGGTGTATTTTTGGCTTGCAAAATCAGATTTTAGCTCATTTGAATCCGAATTAATGCGAACCTCAAGGTAACCCTTGACAGGGATTGGTAAGGCATGGGCTAAGCATGTTTAGTTCTTAAAAAGAAATTAATGTCAACAAGGCAGCCACCAAAAGGATCCATTTCGTTGACTGCTTCTGACCACAAAACAAAATCATTCAAATACAGGTAAACCGCTGATTTACTTACTTTTTTAATCTATGACACGAAACAAAACAGACCTAGAAACATTGTCATTATACGATTGCACGTGTTTGTTTGTGTTTTTATATTTATATTTTTCTTAACATCAGGTCTTATGACCTACGGAATTCTTTGGAGATCATCACGGTGGCGTCTATTCTAAAATACACACAAAATGTTGATACATTATAACAAGTCCATGCATTGAAAACTGGTTAATTAGGACTTTTTGTTATTTGGATAGACGATTAAGTATGTTATAAACATAATATGAGATCTTTTTGTCGTCCAGAGAACATGAATTTGACAGCTAATGCCCCTTTATGAAACTTTAATTTAACATTTTATCGAATCATTTTTTATGAAAATATTTACCTTGAATTGTACTGGAAAGTGAAGGAGGCACAGATCAACATAATCCAGCTGTAAAAGTTCTAAAAACTCTCTTAATGAAGTTTCAATGTCTCCACGTTGCTCAAAACACGGACCTAGCTAAGAGTAAGTTATGATATCGATATGCAATCTCTATTGGTTTTCTTTCAATCTTATAAATCTTTGTACAGTTTATGAAGACGTTTTCGTAAATTTCACATAAAGTTCATGCACAGCCTGGAATTCTGAAAACCTTTGATAACAATCAAATAATCTGCTTGTAAATACTCAATATCGAATAAGTGATTTATGATTATCATCGTTATTTTATTTTGCTTTTTTGTTTTTTGTTATTTTTTCGTTAACTACTTTTCAATTTTAAACTACATAAGACCAATTATTAAATACGATTTTACTTCCAACTCAGATGGTCACAATCTGCTACAAATAACAATACTGGTAATATGTTTACCTTCGCTGTTATAAAAAGATCTTTCCTTTTTACTTTCCCTGAAAGTAAAACCTTTCGTATTCCTTCGCCTGTTTGGGTAATATTACTGTAGAACTCCGCAGTATCAAAATGGCGATAACCGATATCAGCAGCAGTAGTAATCACATCAACAGTTTCACTTAGTAGGATCTTAAAATGAAAAAAAAATTCATATCAGCCACAAACACACACACACACACACATTATACTCTCTCTCTCTCTCTCTCTCTCTCTCTCTCTCTCTCTCTCTCTCTCTCTCTCTCTCTCTCTCTGTATATATACATAATTCGTCAATAAAAAAATCCCCAAAGGACAGATTAGTAAATTTGCTGTTGGAAATATTTGTGCTTCCCCCAGCGAGATTTGAACACATGCTTCTGCTACATGGAGGCAAGTCCGCCTTCAATGTACTCATTTGTTTGACCATTTGTTTACCTAGGCTGAACTATTTATAGATTTATAAGATAAATTGCGTCTTTTCTTATCAGCTTCATGCTCACTTCAAGTTGTAACGCAGTATATGATGTATGGTGGCATGAAGATGGTACTCCTTGCACATCATCTGTTTTGTCTGACGTAGAGATGTCACATATTTAGACATTTATTTAATATATCGTTGCTTTATGAACGGCTTGTTATCTAAACAAAGTGAAAGCAATCTTAACAATTCAAAGTTAACTGCTTCACTTTAATTGATCTAATATAGCCTTCGCCAGAATGGGAAGTCCATTCACTGATGGTGGATAATACCTGACTCATACCATAACTAGTTACGGTGTTTCCATATAGAATGTACCAACAAAAATGCCGTTTATAAAATAATGATTATATTTTTTATGAAAATAAAGAGAGATTATCATGTATAACTTTTTAAGTAATAAGACATATATCATTTTAACAAAATGAATCAGATTCGTCTCATCAAATTGAAATTTCTCTTACTCTCGAAGTTCCTAGTGCTACGACAGGTATACTATTCCCATCATTTAACATATGCTGCTTACAAGGACTATATTCACCATTCATTGCTGCTCAGTATCTTTGACGAATGAATAACAACCTTTTCTTAAAATAAAAGCGGGAAATAAATGTATTGACAGTTAATAAATCATCCAGTATCATTGATTGCTACACACACCAATTTTTAGACAAAAAACATAAAAATCATCAATACCGAACAGTCGATGGAAGAGATAGAAATTATCAATATTTCCTTCCTTGTTAAGAGTACCTTCATTAGTATTTCGATCATTTTAGTTGCATTATTATTTAACGCGCTACAAATTAATCTAACGAAACAAGATTAAACTATAAATAAACTGATTGTTCCGATGAACTATAAAATATATGTTGTAAAATATTTGATATGTTAAATGCAACAGTAGTGATATGTTTAATGCAACAGCAGTGATATGTTTAATGCAACAGTAGTGATATGTTTAATGCAACAGCAGTGATATGTTAAATGCAACAGTAGTGATATGTTTAATGTAACAGCAGTGATATGTTTAATGCAACAGCAGTGATATGTTAAATGCAACAGTAGTGATATGTTTAATGCAACAGTAGTGATATGTTTAATGCAACAGCAGTGATATGTTTAATGCAACAGCAGTGATATGTTTAATGCAACAGCAGTGATATGTTCAATGCAACAGCAGTGATATGTTTAATGCAACAGCAGTGATATGTTTAATGCAACAGCAGTGATATGTTTAATGCAACAGCAGTGATATGTTTAATGCAACAGTAGTGATATGTTTAATGCAACAGCAGTGATATGTTTAATGCAACAGCAGTGATATGTTTAATGCAACAGCAGTGATATGTTCAATGCAACAGCAGTGATATGTTTAATGCAACAGTAGTGATATGTTTAATGCAACAGCAGTGATATGTTTAATGCAACAGCAGTGATATGTTTAATGCAACAGTAGTGATATGTTTAATGCAACAGCAGTGATATGTTTAATGCAACAGCAGTGATATGTTTAATGCAACAGCAGTGATATGTTCAATGCAACAGCAGTGATATGTTTAATGCAACAGTAGTGATATGTTTAATGCAACATGTTTAATGCAACAGCAGTGATATGTTTTAATACAACAGCAGTGATATGTTTAATGCAACAGTAGTGATATGTTTAATGCAACAGCAGTGATATGTTTAATGCAACAGCAGTGATATGTTCAATGCAACAGCAGTGATATGTTTAATGCAACAGTAGTGATATGTTTAATGCAACAGCAGTGATATGTTTAATGCAACAGCAGTGATATGTTTAATGCAACAGCAGTGATATGTTCAATGCAACAGCAGTGATATGTTCAATGCAACAGCAGTGATATGTTTAATGCAACAGTAGTGATATGTTTAATGCAACAGCAGTGATATGTTTAATGCAACAGCAGTGATATGTTTAATGCAACAGCAGTGATATGTTCATTGCAACAGCAGTGATATGTTTAATGCAACAGCAGTGATATGTTCAATGCAACAGCAGTGATATGTTTAATGCAACAGCAGTGATATGTTTAATGCAACAGCAGTGATATGTTTAATGCAACAGCAGTGATATGTTCAATGCAACAGTAGTGATATGTTTAATGCAACAGCAGTGATATGTTTAATGCAACAGTAGTGATATGTTCAATGCAACAGCAGTGTTATGTTTAATGCAACAGTAGTGAAATGTTTAATGCAACAGCAGTGTTATGTTTAATGCAACAGCAGTGATATGTTTAATGCAACAGCAGTGTTATGTTTAATGCAACAGTAGTGATATGTTTAATGCAACAGCAGTGTTATGTTTAATGCAACAGCAGTGATATGTTTAATGCAACAGTAGTGATATATTTAATGCAACAGTAGTGATATGTTTAATGCAACAGCAGTGTTATGTTTAATGCAACAGCAGTGATATGTTTAATGCAACAGCAGTGTTATGTTTAATGCAACAGTAGTGATATGTTTAATGCAACAGCAGTGTTATGTTTAATGCAACAGCAGTGTTATGTTTAATGCAACAGCAGTGATATGTTTAATGCAACATGCAACAGCAGTGATATGTTTAATGCAACAGTAGTGATATGTTTAATGCAACAGCAGTGATATGTTTAATGCAACAGCAGTGTTATGTTTAATGCAACAGCAGTGATATGTTTAATGCAACAGCAGTGATATGTTTAATGCAACAGCAGTGATATGTTTAATGCAACAGCAGTGTTATGTTTAATGCAACAGTAGTGATATGTTTAATGCAACAGCAGTGTTATGTTTAATGCAACAGTAGTGATATGTTTAATGCAACAGCAGTGATATGTTTAATGCAACAGCAGTGATATGTTTAATGCAACAGCAGTGTTATGTTTAATGCAACAGCAGTGATATGTTTAATGCAACAGCAGTGATATGTTTAATGCAACAGCAGTGTTATGTTTAATGCAACAGCAGTGATATGTTTAATGCAACAGCAGTGATATGTTCAATGCAACAGTAGTTATGTTTAATGCAACAGCAGTGATATGTTTAATGCAACAGTAGTGTTATGTTTAATGCAACAGTAGTGATATGTTTAATGCAACAGCAGTGTTATGTTTAATGCAACAGCAGTGATATGTTTAATGCAACAGCAGTGATATGTTTAATGCAACAGTAGTGATATGTTTAATGCAACAGCAGTGATATGTTTAATGCAACAGCAGTGTTATGTTTAATGCAACAGTAGTGATATGTTTAATGCAACAGCAGTGTTATGTTTAATGCAACAGCAGTGATATGTTTAATGCAACAGCAGTGATATGTTTAATGCAACAGTAGTGATATGTTTAATGCAACAGCAGTGATATGTTTAATGCAACAGCAGTGATATGTTTAATGCAACAGCAGTGATATGTTTAATGCAACAGCAGTGATATGTTTAATGCAACAGCAGTGATATGTTTAATGCAACAGCAGTGATATGTTTAATTCAACAGCAGTGATATGTTTAATGCAACAGCAGTGATATGTTTAATGCAACAGCAGTGATATGTTTAATGCAACAGCAGTGATATGTTCAATGCAACAGTAGTTATGTTTAATGCAACAGCAGTGATATGTTTAATGCAACAGCAGTGTTATGTTTAATGCAACAGTAGTGATATGTTTAATGCAACAGCAGTGTTATGTTTAATGCAACAGCAGTGATATGTTTAATGCAACAGCAGTGATATGTTTAATGCAACAGCAGTGATATGTTTAATGCAACAGCAGTGTTATGTACAATCTACAAACATTAGTATTCTACCCTGATATAGTTAACTATTATAAAATGATTGATAAAAAAAAAACCAACAAAAAAATAAAACAAAAAAAAAACAAAAAAAAAAACAAAAAAAAACCAACATCAAAGGCCACATCAATATAGATTATTTCAACCTTATAGAAAATTACTAGATCACCAAGAATAGCTGAAAGATTATTTTTACATATGTTAATAGCAATCGAAGAGAAACAATGGCTGCTGATTCGATTTTTTTTTGGGGGAAAGGAGGTGTTTGAGGTGCACTTAAATACAATCAACATGTACTTACGATCTGAAGTTAAAATCCCCTAATATACAAATTTCCTTTGACAAGTACTTGTGGTTTAATGCTTGAATCGCATTTATGATTCACTGTTTATATTAAACAACGTATAAATTATGTATATACATGCCCGTAATGAAATCAGTCAATTTAATACATGTTAGGTCACGTTCATTTGCGGCAGTTTTCGGTTGAATTTGCTCCTCAAGTGCGTCTAATACTTCGTGAAAAAAAATGTCCAACTATATTTTGGAGGGAGTTACGTTTTTGCAAATATTTATTATTTCTCTTGTACTCTTTTCTATTTTCTAGCATCTGTTCTTTCCTCGTTCTTGTATTTGCCCTCAGCTTTCTAATTTCATTTTCTTCTAAACTAGGTTGATCTCATTTTCTTTAAAAGTAAGCTAAACGGGTACCTTCTGCACATTAATATACACATATACATATATGAATAAACATGACAAAGTCTAGACAATATGCAAATCATTTTATAACAGATTTCATAATATCTGTCTTCACACCTCTATGTACGTCAAGACAGAAGGTAAAGATGCAGAAAGACTGTTGTCAGGTTGAGGATTAAAAAAAAAAAATACAAACTGTAATTAAAAGGCTGTAAAGAAAAGAAGCTACCATTATCCCATAACTTCACATTCCGCTATATAGATTATGACCTTTCCCTAAAATATTCAAAATTTAGTGACTATGGTGAATACATGTATATCATTGAACTTAAAATGAAGGATACAACAGACACAGATCGGTTGAAAACTAAACTTTACGACAACAGTGATAGTTTCTGCTTTCCTATTGTGAACTTTCAGTTCTAAGAAGCAACATTCCAGCAGTTCCTGCATATGGAGTATATCGCCTTCTAGATACGATATTTCAGAGCTTTCATTTCCTATCATGATATCCTAGATACAGGTTTGCTGCTTACAAGGAACCACAACTAAAATTGAGGTCAGCTCTTTGAAAAATATTCTATGTTATTTGGACGTACTGTTATCATCTCACGAGGTAATAAATACACTTTACCTTACGATTTCCCCCTTTGTATTAATTCATTTTTGTCAGCACTGATTCGATACCACTGTTGGTGGACTATCAGTCCCAAAGGGTATCATCAGCTTAGTCTTCTGTACTTCGGTACTGACATGATTTATAACATAGCTTTCTTACATTGTCCATTTAGAAATTAAGAAATTATAAATAAACTAAGGTTTCAACTCCTTCAGGCAAGCTTGGCCTGAGATGGATTTGGCTACATTTTTTATGTCCCTTATTAGTCATATAGCTCTACACCTGATCCAGTTCTTATGCATCCTTGATTTTCACATATTCGGCTTTCAGCGTTCTTGATGAAGGTTAATCGAGAAAAGCGCTTCGGATGCCTAACATATGAGACTTACAAACATGTAGTTAGTTGTGGTAAATTGTTGGTTATCACAGAGGGT